TATGTGTGTGTATTCCTATACGCAGTACCAGTAGTGTACCTGGGTCTCATGCATCACCCCTCTCTTCGCCCCTTTGCAGATGTGATCAATCTGTTTATCTTCATCCTGAGGCTCTTAGGCAGCGGCAACAGGCGTTAGTCAACGCCGCAAGATATTGTCCTATATATCCTTTAGGGGTTTAGGGTTTAGATAATCCTTTAACGCTGCGTTGCCCCGAGCCCCCATCCAGGAATACCACACATGTCGATTCCGGTACTCATGGCGGCCTGGGGCCGTCAATGGGTCTTGTGCAGTACACAGAATGCTGTACCGGAGCCAGTGAACCAATCGTCAAATTATCACCTGCGCCAGCAAAGTACACGCCTGTCGATGATTCCCAATCCCAAATCCAGGATCCCAAATCCCAAATCCAGAATGCTATGTTTACTACCGCAGTTACAATTCCAATTCCAAATCCAGTTTCAACGTTCTGTACAATTGTAGCCTGCTATATTAACGTCCAGGAGATCCTGAGGGAAACTTCGGAGCGAACCAGCTACTAGATAGTTCGTTTAGTATTTCGCCCCTATTCTCAAATTTGATATGACAATCACAAATTATAAACTGCTTGATATGACAATCACAAATTATAAACTTGTGAAGGTATTCTCGCGGCTAAGTACGCAGATCGATTGAACCAAATCCTTGAAAGTAGTAGTATCGCTGTCTTTGCATAGATATTATCGGGTTGAGCCGTTAGGTCCGATTGGCCCAATTCAGCCATAAATCCGATACAATTCAGTCGTAAATCCGACCCAATTCAGTCGTAAACCCGATCGAATTTAGTCGTAAATCCGATCAAATTCAGTCGTGAATCCGATCCCATTTAGTCGTAAACCTAACCCAATTCAGTCGTAAACCGATCCAAGTCAGTCGTAAACCCGATCCCATTCATTGCTAGTTCGGTGCGTGAGAAGGTAAAAGGCACCCGAAGCCAAGCCGAGGGAGACAAACATGAATCTCTGAGCGCTAGGTTTATTGAGAAATATTAACATGGTGTTTTGGGGTTTTTTATTGAGCCTTAGGCATTGGCTGGAACGAACGCTTGAAAGCAAATCTTGTGGAACGTTCAGGGTTTTAGGGTTTTAGGGTTAGGGGTTTTAGCTAAAACACTAAAACCTTTTACGGCCTTTGTTTCTGGTCCATTTAATATGAGAGTCTAAGGTGTATTGTACAAATCCTCCGGAGCCAATTATATGGAATGTATGTATTACTTCTCCGGATTAGAAACTGAGATAGTAAAGTCTGGCTGGTTGTAAGCCCGTCTAACAGAATGTAGAAGATGACCACTTCTCTCCTATTGCAGAAGAGGTGTGTCACTGGCGCGATCGTGAAATAGCGTAGTACCTGATACACCATGGCGTAGTGGTAAGTACATGGATCACACCCTGCCCAAGTAGGCGGTACAGAACTTGAACTTGGTATTGGGTATTGTAATTACTCGGTTCAAATTGGCCAGGGTAACTTAGTAGTAACAGGGAAGACGCTTAAGCAATAACAGTTATATTTTGCCACAGATACTACGAAAAACAGTTATATGTTGCCAGAGACACTAAGATCCTAGCCCAACCTACACAGCCTGTTCTTGATAGTTGTCCAGGCATCCGTAGTGCAGAACAGTCCCACTCGGACAGAAGGCTATAGCACTTAGCCCTAACCGTTTGCTACACACAGGGCAAGTGCGTGTCTCGCCAACCACAGTGGCTCTGCCCCTGTACCGGTACAGTTCCTCTTGCTCCTGGGACAGGGATAGGCCAATGCATGTGAATGGGTGGGTGTTTGCACGGATAGAATGGCACCTTCAAAAGGCCTAGATGGAACAGAGATTTATTTTCTTTCAGAGGGCTATGGTTATATATCGATTTGATGTAGGGAAACATTCAGTCACAGCCCACCCCCAAACAAACCCCAGACAACTTCAGTCCAGAATCACCTACCGAATACCCTGCACACGTGTCAAAGGTTTGTCTGTGAGTCGTGTGTGTGTGTGTGTGGTTAAGCATCTTTACCTTCAGAGGGAGTGTTTGTGAGTCGTGTGTGTGTGTGGTTGAGCATCTTTACCTTCAGACGGAGTGTTTGTGAGCCGTGTGTGGTGTGGTTGACATCTTTACCTTCAGAGGGAGTGTTTTTGAGTCGTGTGAGTGTGTGGTTGAGCACCTTTACCTTCAGACGGAGTGTTTGTGAGCCGTGTGTGTGTGTGGTTGAACATCTTTACCTTCAGGGAGTGTTTGTGAGTCGTGTGTGGGTGTGGTTGCACAATTTT